CGCCCCGCGGCGCCCGGGAGCGCCCTGCGCGCCTTGCTGCGCTGCAACCTGCCCCCCGGCGCCCAGCGCGTGGTGGTCTTCGCGGTGCTGGCGCTCCTGGTCCTCATCAACGTCGTGCTGATATTCCTGCTGGCCTTCCGCTGACCGCCCGGGCAGGGCGCCGCGGGCAACCGCGCAGGGGTGAGTGGCGCCGGCGCTGGGCTCCTGCGGCCGCCGCGCGTCTTCCCTTTCAGCCCCGTCCTCCTCGGTGCCCGCCGCGGCTCGCAGCCCGCAGTGGCCCAAGGTGCAGCGGCTGGCGCCGTCTGGCCCCCGTGAGTCCCGCACCGGACGCCACCAGGGGAGGCCTCCCCTGCCAGCCCCATGTGCCAAGGCCCGGTCTGTGTGTGTGCCCCCCTGGGGATGCGGCCCTGCAGGTGACTTGGGGCGTAATGACACTTGTGCCACAGGGTCTTTCCATCTGTCCTTTGTGCCGTGGTGTGTGTGTGTGTGTGTGTGTGTGTCTAAAATGGCGTGTCTCTATGTGTAGCTGAGGATGCGGATGCAGCTGTGGCCACGGCTGTCTATGGTTGTCTGGAAACTGTACATGTGACTGCCATGTGAGCGGAACTGGACATGCGTTTCTGTGTGGGTTGAAAAATGTCTGGGAAGATGAGTGGGCTCCTCTTCACATGTCATCTGCAGTTGCTTTTCCTATTTTAGGTCTTAGTGGTCTCAGTCAACGTGCCCCCACTACAGGCAGAGCCCCTCCTGCACCCCCTGGAAGGTGGGCATTCTGAATACCCTCTGTCCCCTGCTGTACAGGGGCCCAAAGAAGCTGAGCCACATTCCTTCCCAGACTATCTGATTGGAATCCTCCACCAGCCTGCATATGTGAGAGACAGGAGGAGATGGGGCAGGGTGGGAAAGGTGGTGGGTGCTCATCAGGGGGAACTTTGAGCCAAAGTCTGGCTTCCTGAAGCCTGTCAAAATCTCTGAGGTACAGGAGTGGATCCTGCCCCTGTCCCTCCATGGGGACAGTTCCCCAACTGCCTCCACATAAATATTCCATGTCTCAGAACCAGCTTCTGCTCCCCTCTGCCAGGCCAAGAAAGAGCCTGCAACCCTTGCCTCTCAGCCTGCTGGACTTAAATCTGGGCTTCCATGCAGCTGCACCTCAGACAGAGCATCAGGAAGGGCCTCTGCCCAAAAACCCATCCAGTGTGGGCCTTCGTGGCCTCTGGGCTGTCGGAGGTAGAATGCCTCTCTGAACTCTTAGAGCTACATTTTATCTTGGTGACATCACATAAATGGTTAACGTCATTGCTATAACTTGACAGAGTGCCTTGCATTTGCAGATCCGTAGAGGAGCTTTGTGGCCCAGGGAGAGCACATGGTTACTGTGGGCATCAGTCGGGACCAAAGCACAGGGAGATCGGGGGAATTCCTCATGGCTGTATGTCTGTCAAGTACCTTCTGTGCACAGCAAGGCACTGGGACAAGGAAGTGACAAAGGTGGCCACCCCCACTACCAGAAAGGGCTTCTGGCTGACTGGACAAGACAGGTGTCGGGACTTGTCCATGAAGGTGTCAGGAACCATGGTCTCTCTGGGAAGCCCTACGTCTGCAGCGATAGAGGAAACCAGCTGTGTAGGACGCCCCCTCTCTGCAAGGCTGGCAGAGGACAGCGGCGGGAGGAGGCACTGGCCCATACAAGAGGGGCTTTGCTCGGGGCTCATCTGAGAGAACCCAGGGTTAGGAGGAGACACCTGATCTGGCTAGTATTAGTAGGGAACGACCTGGGCAGGGAAATGGCGGGAAGCTGGGCTGTGTGGAGTATGTCTGCATTACGTCCTCCCTGCCTGGGCTCCAGCAGTGAAAGGTGGCTTCCACACTGTCCTGGAGACCTGCATGTGCAGCTAGTGTGAACTGAGGGTGGACGGCATTCACCTGCAGCGTGGCATACTGTTCTCAGGAGATCAGAGTGTAGCATCCCAGTAGCGAGTGTATAAATGTGTGTTGGCAGGTGCATGTCGGGGTTTGTGCAGGAAGAGGGAGTCTCAGGACACGCACCTCTCAAGGATCAAAACTACCCAAATAGCCTGTAGTCACACATTCCCTCCATTGTGATGCACACACTTTGCCTGAGGTCATACACACTCTCTGTCCTTATGCTCACACTCACCCTTGGTCACACACATCTTCTGTCCTGATGTATCTGCTCACCTGTGATCACTGTCCCTGAAAGAGGACATTCACCTGCAGCCCACATTCTCATTGGCTCACCCACCCCACCCTTGAGTACCTTGCTTCTTCCTTGTCTTCAGGCAAGATCCTCCAAGGCTAGAGGTGGTAGCCTCCTCATGTGGAGCATGCCTGCTCTGGGCTGCCTAGTCTAGTGCTTGCTCCCTGGGTACAGCAGGCACCTTCATGTGGCTCGCTGAGTCCTCTTGTCTCATCTTGTTCGTATTGCAGCCAGGAGGTCTTGATCCTGGGGGCCAGGCCTTCCTGCAGAAGAGGACATGGCTGTAGTAGGTCTTTTTAGCTGGGGTGAGTTCAATGGTCCCTTGAGGAGGCATGCAGCCCCCCAGGAATAACCCAGTGCTCGGTGCCCAGGGCCCCTGGGTGGGCATCAGGAACCTGCAGCCCCTGAATGGCTTTGCATGGGAGCGTAGGTATACACGTCGGCTGTAGATCATTCGGAGGAGTGGTTTCATCAGGGTTTAAAGCAGGTTTCATCCCCAGAAAACACGAACTGGAGGTTTCTGAATGTGCTTGCTCAGGCCCTACCCTGGAGGAAGGTTCCAGCCTGAGTGGGCTCTGGTATCCAGGTGGCCTACCCCACCCTTCACTCTGCCCATTCAGGGCCTGGGGGAGACCCCCTAGCTACTGGAAATGTCAGCTGGAGATCCAGACAGTCCTGTTGCAGCCCTGCTCTGGTTCCCATTTCAGTCTGAGGAACAGCACACACACTGCACGGGGAGCACGCAGAGAAGGCCCCACTGGACCTGAAGCCAAAGAAGGATTCACACGCACGAGTGGGAACAGAGGCGAGCAGCTCAGAGGAGGAAATAGTTGGTTGCAGAGGGCCTCACTGGTTGACGCTCTGAGGCCTTGACTGCCAAAGAGCCACCCTGCAGAGCCAACACTTGGTCCCAGCAGACATGGATCTCACCTCTTTTTTTTTTTTTTTTTAAGATTTATGTATTTATTTGACAGAGACACAGTGAGAGAGGGAACACAAGCAGGGGGAGTGGGAGAGGGAGAAGCCGGCTTCCTGCTGAGCAGGGAGCCCGATGCGGGGCTCGATCCCAGGACCCTGGGACCATGCTCTGAGCCAAAGGCAGACGCTTAATGACTGAGCCACCCAAGCGCCCCTGGACCTCACCTCTTGTATAGCCCCCAACCTACCCCTCCTCTTGTCCTAAGCCCCAGAGCCATTCATTATTCATGGAGCAGAAACTGAGCCCACATTACAGGAAAGCAGGCATCCGCCCAACGGCAAATGGAGCTCTAAGCACAAGGGCTGCCTGGGGCATGGAGGAGGGCGGGAGTCCCATCTCCCTACCCCTCAGGGCAGGGGAGCATCCCTCCTGATGTGAGGTCCATGACCATGTGGGAGGAAGGAAACACACCAAATTATTTCAGCAGAGAGAAATAACTATAAAGACTTGTGAGCCAGGTATAAAGTGCCTGACCCCAAAACCAAGTGCACAAGAACAATCCTGAAGTATCCATTACAGAGATAGCAGCTGCAAGATGTACCTACCCCTCCTAGAGCTAGGGAATAAAGTAAAGAGGTTGGAATAATTAAAGCTGAGGATCCTGTGGGCCTTGGGACCTGAAAGTCTGAGGCTAGGTGCTCTTTAGCTAGTGCAGGTTGGGATGGCGGGGGAGGGCCATGAGACTGGTTCCACAAGTGTTCGAAAATCACCACAAACCAGATCCAGCTACTGTGATGGCTGGGTGCCACCCCCCCCGCCCCCCGCCCCCCCCTCACCCTGCCCCGTACCTAGGAGGAGTGGCACTGGTGCTTGCCAGGTGACCTCACAGGTAATGCAAGGCCACAGGAAGCCAGTGGGAGGGAGTAAGCCCCTTCTCCCTCTGGCCTTGTGGTCCCCTCCAGTGCCACATTGGGAGAACCTAACGGGGTAGCTAGCACAGAAGAAATGCAGCCTGCTGTGCTCAGCCCCAGCCTCCCAGAGCAGAGCACAGATGGTAAATGAAGCTGAGAGTAGTAAGTGACTCACTGGTCCAGTGGGGTGGGAGGAAGGTGTGCCCTGTGCAGGGGAGTGAGCAACACACTTGCCTCTCAGATTCTGTGGCTCACCAGGATTCTAGTTCACTTCAGGCTTCATCACGAGCCTTGCCAGTCTAGACATGCCCAGGGCATAGTCCTGTCCCTTGAAGAGTGACGGGCTCAGAGGGAGCCTCCATTCACTCCTCTGTAACCTGAGTCAGGATCCCCTCTTTGCAGGGCTGCTGAGGGATGGAGGACAGAGGGCAGAGCACCCTGCCCCATGAGGAGGTCCATGACAACCTTGCCCACTGATCTGCTATCTGTGGCTCTCTCCACAGCTCATCAGTGATGGCAGTGTGGTCTGTGCTGAAGCACTCTGGGACCATGTCACCATGGATGACCAGGAACTGGGCTTCAAAGCTGGGGATGTCATCGAAGTAATGGATGCCACCAACAGAGAGTGGTGGTGGGGTCGTGTTGCTGACGGCGAGGGCTGGTTTCCAGCCAGCTTTGTGCGGGTATGGCACAGCCTGTGTGCTTCTCCTTTGCCCATTAGGAGCCAAGTGGCTCTGCTCAGACATGCAGACCTGAAACTGCTCTGGGGTCGGAGGTGCTGGGCATGGACTTCCCCCCGCCCCCGCCTTCCCCCACCCTCAGGGCTGTGCTGGGACTGTAAGGCTGTGGGTTGGAGATGGGGATCGAGGTGTCCAGAAGACCAGCCACAGAGTTGTGACACAGCCATCACCAATTCCTGCCTGCTCCCACCCCTCCCTCCAGGGTGCCCTCAGTGTCCAGAAAGGAACGGGTCAGAAATGATGGTGTGTGCATTCCTCCAGGGGGAATCTGCCTGTTAGAATTCCATCACCACAAACAACTCAGCACCGGGCATTTACTAAACCCGGTGCAGAAAATTTGGACAGGCTTCTCAATTATAACTTTCACAATGCCCTGGGAGCTGGGAACAGCCCCTTACACCTGAGAAAACTGAGGCATGGACAAGTTAAGTCGTTAGCACAAGAGCTCACAGGAAGGGGACCCAGAGCCTCCCTGTGGCAGCCTTTGGTCTCCTAGGAAGGAATCATGGTGCCTTCTCAAAGGCCAGGCAGAGGGCAGTGGGGAGGAGATATCCCAGACTTTGGGGTTCGTTGCTTCTGCTGCCCCAAACCCCGTGGATGAACTGCCCACTCTCCACCTCTAGCCTGTCCTACTTACAAGTCAGAGAGCCAGAAAGGCCCCGTCACCCATCCTCTTCTGTCACAGCCCCTAGAGGGCCGGCCCCGTGTGAGCAGGCCCTAGGTCCGAACCCCAAGAGAGTGAGCATCTGTGCTCCGCTCCCAGCACTGAGTCCAGAACCGGCCGAGGAGCGAGAGGAGAAGGGTGCCTTCAGAGGGGCAGGCGCAGTCTCGGGTGCTGGGGGAAAGGGGCTGCCGGGTCTACACGTCCTCCGAGCCTCTGTTCCCCGCTGCCGCCGCGTGCCGGTCGCGGGGCGCTGAGCCTCGGCGGGGGCTGACCTGAGGGGCGCTGACCAGCCGCGCGCTGCCTGCAGCTGCGGGTGAACCAGGACGAGCCCGCCTACGAGGATGCCTTGCGGGCCGGGGACGGCGGGGCCGCGGATGGAGGGGCCGAGGCGCAGAGCAGCAAGGACCAGATGCGGACCAACGTCATCAACGAGATCCTCAGCACCGAGCGGGACTACATCAAGCACTTGCGCGACATCTGCGAGGTGAGGCCCGGCCGGGGGTGCGGAGGGTGGCGTGGGGGACGCGGGTGCCGGGGGAGAGACCTGATGGGCCGCGGGCCGCAGGGCTACATCAGGCAGTGTCGCAAGCGCGCCGACATGTTCAGCGAGGAGCAGCTGCGCACCATCTTCGGGAACATCGAGGACATCTACCGGTGCCAGAAGGCGTTTGTGAAGGCGCTGGAGCAGAGGTTCAATAGGGAGCGCCCCCACCTGAGCGAGCTGGGCGCCTGCTTCCTGGAGCACGTGAGCACGCCCCGCCCCGGACACCCCGCTGCCCAGGACCCACGCACCCTGTCTCCCCACTACGCGGGCCCCCTGCCCTGCCCATCCCTGCTGGGGGTCCGCGCCCGGCTACACACAAACCCCCTGGCCCCAGCACAAAGCCTCCCTTCGCCCTTGCCTCCCGTGCCTGCCTCCCCTCAGAAGTCGACCCTGTAGGCTAAAGCCCAGGCAACCTGCTGCTCTTTGCCCAGAAGCATCCAGGCCCCACACCCCTACTGCCCACCTTGCCCTCACGCTCCCACACGGTTTTAGCAGTGTCTCTTCTTGTTTGGGAGGCCGACCAAGCCAGAGAGGGCTCCTAGGAGCAGGGGTGCCTGGGCATCTGCCTGAAAAGCTTTGCTTGGGCTAGAGTAAGTAGAAGACAGAGCTGGGCTGGGCTACCTGTTGAGCATCCTCAGAGCTGTTCCTAACAGGTTCTTGGCTTCCTCACACACTGAGAAAACTGGAATCTGTGGAATGTACAGTGCTTAACTTCCACGCTAAATGCCAGTTGGAATTTAGCCAAGGTTCATTGGCCTGGTCTAGGCTAGATGGACTCCTGGCCTTGCTTGGTAAGGAAGGCACTTGTTACTATCCCTCTCCTGTGGCAGTCACGTGCGGTTGAGCCGAGGATGCCAAGGCCGGCCCATGAAGGACAATGTGGGTTCCTTCTTGGTGTTGGAAGGGCCCTGGCACCTCACTCCAGTGGCAGGAGGAGAACTGGAAAGGGAGACCTTAGACTTCCCGAGCAGGAACTGGGGGCGGGTCAGAGCACCTGTGTGAGCATGGGATTTGCAGCCAGTTATTCAGCAGGCAGAGCTGTGATGGGGGCGGGGGGTGGGGCAGGCACTTTATCGATATTACCTAGTGTGACCATCCCAGCAACCCGCCAGCCAGCCAACTGCTGTTACCCTCCTTTCCCACCTAAGTCCGTGAAGTCCTAGTCACTCTAGGGCACACCCAGTCTTTCTCTGGCTCTAGGTAGATGGAACTTAAAAAAAAAAAGGCACTCTGAGTCTCCTGTACGATACACACACAATGTGGATATATCTGTCACATTGTGTTTGTTGAACAAAGTGGCAGTGGCTGTCTTTCAGATATGAAAGAGCTTTGTGAAGGATAAGCAAGACACTGGGCCGAGGAGGAGAACAATCCAGGGGACATAGCCATAGACCCTGGCATCCATTTAATCTCTCTCTCTCTTTTTTTAAGATTTTATTCATTTATTTGACAGAAAAATAGACAGTGAGAGAGGGAACACAAGAAGGGGGAGTGGGAGAGGGAGAAGCCGGCTTCCCGCGGAGCAGGGAGCCCGATGTGGGGCTCGATCCCAGGACCCTGGGATCATGACCTGAGCCGAAGGCAGACGCTTAA